GGAGGCTGGGGTCCCGCCTTGTGCCACCTGCGAAAGAGGTCTCCGCGCTGTCCTGTAACGATTTCACCCCCGTGAGTCTCCCCACCTCCGACCCACCCCCGTTTTTCTCTTCCAGTGGAACAAGGAGGACCTCCCACAGCAGCGGACTCTTCCTTTTCATCTGCTCGCCCACCCGTCAGGTCAGACTGCAATGAGTGGACTGAGGTCTCCTAGGCTGCTGGGGCTAGTGCTCTTAATGCTCTCGGCAGGATATTGCAAAGAGAAAACTGACTCCGCAGATTTGAAAGACAGGCAAAGTCTCTTGAATCTGATCATGGAGATCATTCAGGAACTGAAAAGGTACCACCTGGAGAAGGACAGTGGGGTGCAGTACTTCTCTAAGCATGACTATAACTTAGATCGAAGGGAAGTCGCTGACTACGGAGGATACCAGGACGAGCAGAGAGTTGGTAAGTCACAGTCCATGACTTAGGAGGGTGGTTTTTTTTTTTCTCTAGGGAGTCTTGGTGAATGAGACATCACATCAGGTTGCTAATTTTGTATCAAGAATTCACCGCTCAAAATACCTGCAGATGCCCTTTGGTATCAGAAACACAGACGGCAAATTTGGAATAGAAAAACTCCATTCACATCTCAGTCTCTTACTCTCTGGATAATGTACTCAACTGAAAGTCTGGCTTCCTGTGTGTTGGCTTTGAATGAAACTTAGTAAGAAAGGAAAAGACTGAAATGGGCTGAGATCAAAGAAATAAGGGATGAAAACGCTCTTTTTCCTGGAAGTTTACCACTTTTTAAATTCTGCTTGGTTTAAGTGTTTCTTGGAAATAACCCTAGCAAGGATTCCCCTGCAGGACTGTAGTATGTCCTTACAGATCTCACATCTAGAAGCCTTTCCTGCAGCTCAGCTTCATGAAACTTTTCACCCCACTTTTTAGTCCCTTTTGTACTCCAGAGGTAGCACCTTTGAAATACTAGGGAACTGGAACAGAGTACTCCTCTGTCACTGCACAAGCTGTGACCGCTTTGGGACACTCCTGCAGTCATCCTTCTGCTCATTTGAATGGCTCTTCTCTGACCTCCAGTGAAAGCCCATGTTGGTTTGTGAGGCGTTCAGGGTTGTATAGAGCAGTCCGGAAGTAGTCGTAGCGAGCCACGTAGTGATGGATAGTTACACCTCAGTTCTGTGATGTGCTGCTTCTCTGCATCCAGTTGAAAGTTGATTTGGCTGCTGCTGCCATGTCTCATTTACTGTTCACCGTCACTCCCAAACCCCCACAGCATTACTGCTGCTTATCTTACCCCTCCTACTAAAAGTGACTTTCTAGTATTTTCCAGCAGATGGCTACTCACCTTTTTTCCAAACTGGCTTCCATTTTGCTGGTATGCTATTTATTTTGCCTTTGTTGATCTCATAAAGCTTCGTTGTACCTTTTCTTCATTCTCATTCATATTCAAATATCCTCACGATCTGCATTTGTTGGTAGTTGTCATGAAAATGTTACTGCTCCATCTGGATGATTAATGAATATACAAAGGAAGACAATTTTGTTCCACTTAAGATCAGTACAGTGAGAACACTGCTTTTATAAATGTTGAGAAGTTAAAGAGGCCAGACAAAGCAGGGAATCCTGATCTGCACAACTCTCAATCTCAACAGGGAATGTAGGCGTAGTTTTTGGCCACCCTACCTCAGCGTATAGGTGCAAAACACCTAGTTTGTGCTGAAGTTATCTATGCAAATAATAAACCTACTTAGAGCAGATTGGTTGGTAGAGGTGTTACTGACTCCTAAGCAGGATTTTTCATTCTGTTATTATAATGGAGTTAATTCCCAGCAACTCTGAAAAGGAACTACTGCTCAGAGTCTTTAATTTCAGTTTTAGCATCACTTTCCCAGTGAGCCTGTCCCAGGGGAGATTTCTGAGTGAAGCATGTGTGTTTTTAATGCTCTTCATGACATAATTAGGTCAAATACGATAAGGTCAATTTTACTTACACCGGCTGAAGTTAGAAGTAAATGAAGAATGACTTTCGAGAAGTGTCTAACCTCACAAGTGAATCAGATCTGGATGGAAATGCTCTCTGCTTTGTATCTGATAAGGGGTGCCAGGGGAATGAAAAAGGCTGCTCAGGCATTTATGGTCAAATAAATAAAGCACCATGTAGTGTATCACACACAATCAGCACTAAGCTATCAGCATAGGGTTTGTAACGGAAAGCAATCAAAGATAGCTGTAAATCAGGAAGACGCAAGGGTTAGGGCTAAAATGGATTTCAGTAAACCAGTTTCATTTTGCCATCTGCTGAACACAAAACGCAAGGTGGTAAACCACAAACGCAGGGAGCCAGAAGAGAGCAATTTGCTTGGGATCATTTCCTGTGAATTTTATTTACTGATAGAGGAGGGAAAAAAAAAGATTCCCGTAAGTAGATTAATCCAGTTTCGTGATTGCAGCAGGACATGTGACAAAAGAGTAGATGCATTTGCATAAGAGAATTAGAAGACACAAAACCAAACTTGAATGTATCTTTGGGTCTTTACCAGTAGCAGAATATGCTGTTTCTGAGCAACCATGAACTAAAATTTCTGGAAAAACTTAAATCTGGGTAAACTTGATAATGTAATTCATAGAGAGCTAAACTCCGACTCTTAGTTAATCGTCATCATTGTTAACTACTGCACATCTAACAGATGTTACTTGTTTCATCATCACAGTTTCACAGTGGATTTTACAGTGGCTTCTTATGTAAAACAAATACTTGCAATTTGGCCTACTGTATGCAAAGGCCTTTTGACCTCTGTGCATCTGTCAAGACATAGTGGTGACATTTGCTGGACAGTTTATTCCCTGCCCTCATATGATGCTTGGCAAGCCTCGTTCCAGTGCAGCAGAGTGACTATTCCTTTTTCTGTCCAACAGAAATAGTTCCCAGAGATCTGAGAATGAAAGACAAGTTCTTAAAGCATCTTACAGGTATGTTTTAATTTTGCATCATTTCACGCACATACCATAAGCTGCACTACTGTTCCTGTGAGCTGTGCTGATTCATAACTTACTTTTTCTTTATATTTCAGGTCCACTGTACTTTAGCCCAAAATGTAGTAAACACTTTCATCGGCTTTATCACAATACGAGGGACTGCACCATCCCAGCATGTAAGTGCCAAAACCAGACTTTCATAAAACAACAGAAAAGTCTAAAATTTAGTAGCTCTATGAAGTGCCAGTAGTGATGCAATGTTAGAATGCATTGCTTGCAGTGAAGAATTTGGAGCACTCTAAAACATAGTCGCTGTACAGCGTTGCTAGAACAGCATCAGCGTTACAGTGAGGAAAATGGAAACACAACTTTTTCACAGCAAATCCAGTGTAGAATGGCTGTAAACACGGCTTCCTTAGGTACCGATGTATGTGCCTCTCTGGTTCCAAACCAAAGGTGTTTGCTTTTCTTAGGAACATGTGACTCCTCCTGCAAACCTCTCATGTTTAATTTCTAGTGCTGCAAATACAAGATAGGATCAGAAATCCAGGTGGGGTTATTTCTTTTCATTGATTATTTATGTAGAACATGTTTTATAGACATTTTATATTGGCTCAGCTACCAATCTACCAGTGATGTTGACAGTGAATCTTTGCAACTCTTGTCTTCTGTGAATTACAAAAGTATAATTTCCTAAGTCTTAGTAAGAAAAGAAAAAAAAAAGAGCTGATGGACACAAGTAAGCAAATGCAGCTTATGATATCTCATCAGCGTTGGCAGCACAGAAAATACAAAAAAACCAATCAAACATTGACATTTATCAGTCAGTAGATGTGGCTCCAGATTCATACTGAGGTGGACCTGTTGACTAAGCAGATGCTATTTTAGTACAGCCTTTTCAGAATGGAAGGACACTTTATTTTACTTGTCTGAGGTCAACCAGTTGGGGCAGTAGCAGAGCTGGGAATAGAAACGAGAGTTACTGATTCCAAGTTTCAAGTATTAATAAATATTTCAGCCTAATATATTTTAAAGGCATATCTGGTAAGAATTGCAGACTTTTTCCCTATTTATAAGGCTTCAGATTAGGAATACCTTGGAAAGATAAGGATTTATAGATAATGGCTAACCAAATCACGTTGTTTACGTGGGTGGAGATGGAAGTAACCAGTCTGTTTTGAACAAACAAGCAGTCATATTACCTTTTTCGTAAGGATCACAACACAAACATCATTTGATTCAGCACTAATGAGTGCTTCAAGCTGTGAAGCTAAAAACTAGTTGGTCTTAAAGTGTGAATTAGCCTTTTCCTCCTGACAGGTAACATACCCACCAACATAATGTGCGGATAATGGAGGATAATTTGTATGAATGGCAATTACAGCATATCTGTGCTGTGAGTTAGGGATTGTTAACATTGCATCTCTAGGAAACATTAGATGTAGTTACTCATTAATGAAATAATGCTTAACGAAAATCAACATCAGTCACCAGACTGGACCGACTAGCGTCTCCTTAAAGTAACTCTCTTCTAGGAAAATGAGGTAACCTGCTTTAGGTCTTCATGCACAGTACAATGCTACTTTATGATAACACGCTGATTTCGGGTAATACTGTTCATTCTATGTTGAACTTCAAAGGCCAAACAACAAAGAAATTAAAAGCTTCTATGATGCTGCGGCTCAGTGGTAGCCAGTACAAAAGCATTCGTCGGCATACCTTCTGGTACTTTGTACAGCATAGTAGCATTGGCACCTAAAAGGTAATTTACTCTGCTGTCTGTCCATAACCAATTTTCACAATATTTGCTTTCAGTTTGCCATGTTAAAGAAAAAAAAAAAACCTCTTGATTAATTGTTTAGTTTTGGATTGGTTCTACCCCTTACTATGAATGCAACAAAAAGCAGAAGGTACCTAAAATAAGAACAACTAACAATAGGACTACTGTGGAAAAAACAATTTTAGTAGTTTTAAGAAGAAACTTGATACAGTGATGAATGACTTTGTATGATGTGGTCACCTGCTCGGGCTGGACTTAACACTCTGATAGGAGATGTTACTTGTCTAATTTCACAGTTTTTCCAAGAAGATTTATTGGAGAGTTGCATTACGTAATACTAAGTTGATAGGCTTGCTCACTGAGGGCTGGATTTCAAGAACAGATGAGCAGTAGTTCTTCATCTAGTATGGAAATAGTACAGTCACATGTTTAGATCCCACATTTAAGCACAGACACAGATGTATAAATTTTCATATATACATACACTTGGACAGCCTCCAAGCACATTCATGCTATTTGTTTATGGATTACTGTGCAGAAGTCAGTTCCATGGTTACATGTGCCACTAGACATGGCTTTCAGTTACGCAATTTTTACACACTCCATTTCTGAGTTTAAGGAGCTGGTTTGTATATTGTTGCAAAGTAAGGTGTTCACTGAACTTTATTTCAACAATAAGTTGCACACCGTTACCAATTTTTATTTTAAAAGGCAAAATTGGTTACTTTAGTAATCTGTTTGTGCTCTTTTCTCACGACAGACTATAAAAGATGTGCCAGGCTTCTCACTCGGTTGGCAGTGAGCCCAATGTGCATGGAAGGATAAAGGTAAGCTTTTTTGTAACAGCAGTGACATTCTACTGCATAGCAAAGCAGTGGATTTCGTGTTTCGTACCTGAACATTCATGGGAGTATAATAACAATTGTCCTTTGGCTGAAGTATTCCCCTTCCAGAGTACCTGAAGTAACTGGCTTAATCTGGCCAATATTGGCGATAAACAAAGGGTACGTGCTACTGGAAGTCATTATATAAAAGTCCACGTGCATCAGCTGTGAATTATTCATAGCAGCATACAGTTAGATAGTGAATTTGTTGTTATAGAAGAAAACACAACAGCTGTAGCGTATTTTTCAAGAGTTGACTCAGTACACAATTGCCTGTACTGGCAGCAGCAGCAGCCCTTTTATGGGTGCAGCTGTAGATCTGTGGTGTACATTTCAGTAGGAGTTAATATAGACGTAGCTCTACACATGAAAGCTTCATAAATGCAGAGAGGTTGCAGGTGCTTTTATAGTAATTCAATTAAAATGTATTATTAGTAGCATTGATTAACTTTAAGCTACTCTGATTTATTGGGATTTTCATCCTGTTCACCTCACCTGTCTATGGGTTTATTCCCTCCCTTTTTGCCCGGATGTACCTCTGATTCCTACAGATACTGGGGGAGTTTCACCATGCACCAAAATAAAAACAAAAGCCAACAAGCAAACAAAAAAGCACTTCCAAACTTATCTGTATTTCTAGAAAACTGACATGTAAGAATACAAAAGGACTAATTCACACTAATTTACATTCTGTTCTCAATGTTTACCTGAGGCAAAAATGTGACCTCTGACAAAGGGATATGTAATAACCCATATGGATTTGTCAGTGACAAATGCTGTCAAACCAAGATATTTTAACTCCCTGACAAAACACACATCTTGTGGAGAGAGTCAGTGAGAAAAAGCAAGACATGTTAAGCATCTTAAGTTTATTTTTTAAAGCACTGACACTGTTTTGCATGACATTTTCACAAGCAAGCTATGGAAATGCGATCAAGATAAATGTAAGAATGGCTGGAAAAAATACAAATAAGTTACTAATGCTTCACTGTCAAACTGGAAAAAAGTATTGAGCAGAGTCACACAGCTTCATTATGGGTATGGTATTGTTCAATATTTTCATTAATAACTTCAGTGACAGAAGACAGTATATTTATGGATGACAGTAGTGTAGGAGAAGCAATCATGATAGTACAATCTTGAATTTGAAAATAATCTTGGAAAATTAGCTGAATAGTCTAAAAACAGGATAAAATTTAAAGGAAAGAGCAGAATTCTGAAGTCATGCAGGAGTAAGCAACTGCAGAAATGCACGGCAAGTTGTGAATAGCCAGACAGATAGTTCTGTAGAAAACGTAGGGGTTGTAGTGGATCAGAAACTAAGCCTGTTAGCCATGTCACACTTTAAAAAAGACAAACAACATACCGGAATGTATAAATAGAAGCATTGTTTATAAACCATCTGAAATAATACGGTATTCCAGCAATAGTGATTTAATTAAGGTCACCACGAAGACACATGGGTGCTTCTTGTCCAAAAGAAGAGCAACATGGATGACCAAAGACGTAGAAAACTCTATCTATAAGAACAGCTGAAAGGAATTGGGATTATTTAATCTGAAGAAGAGGTGCCTGCAGGAGAACATGATGGAGCTATTCAGTTTCATAAAAAGTGGCTACAAGCCATTCCCTCTGTCCAGAGTGGATAAAGACATAATTTGTTTAACTTTGCAACAAGAGAGGATTCCAGTTAGACATTAGAAAAGAATTTTCTAATGGCAAGGGCGATACGTTAAATCATTAGATGTAATTCAGCATCCTTGACTTTATGCTAAACTCCTCAACGTTTAAGTTATTTTCTCTCTGACTTCCTAAAATAAACCTAAACTAGCCCAGCTTCAATGCAGAATGTTTCTAATGTCCAATAACTGTTACATTACTTGTTGTCTTAATTTGAAACACGCAGCCATGGAGAGGAACCTCTTATCCAGATGTCATGTGTTCAGGGATGGAATCATGGAAACCATTAATTAATAGTACAATTAATACAATAGTATTAGACAAAAGTTAGCAATTAGGTAAACCCTTTGATCTAATTAGGAGAAATTCCAGGGATTCAGCCTTTCAGTTGTAAAATCCAGAAAGCAAGGAACAAATTAGCTGTTCTATAATGATACCATGTGTGGAAGGCAAGTGAATAATATTACCAATACTAATAAACAGATACATCAGAGTAGGGAATTATTTTCTCCCTTTCCTTAGAAAGTTTTATCTGTATCTTTACATCCTATCATGTAAATACAAACTCATAATATGAAGGAACAATAACTAAATCAGTTCACATCTCAAGCTGGGAGTCTATTTTAAAAAAAGTCCAACTCATTTTGCCAAACAACTCCTTTGCTCAACTAGCAGGCATGTTTCAGGTGGGTAACAAGCCTCCACTTCTGTTATTCTCCTCACAGACACCAATCATTAATAGTATCAGCACTCTTAAGCAACCTCTCTTAGTAGAAAGAAAGGATACTCCCTACCACGCATGCCTTGAGATCCACAGGTGTCTCCATAAAATTAAGCATCCTTCCTCCTCAAAGCTTTTCCACTGCATCAGTTCAATTTGTGTTAGGTAAGACACCCCTGCTCACAGAAAAGTATAAGGCAGGCTTTATTTGTTTTCATGGACTGCGCTGTAGAAAAATGGGTTCTTTTTGTATTTTTCCACTTATCAAACCATCCTTTTTCTCCACAAAGTGTGTATTTGTCATTAGTCCAAGGTGTTTTCAAGTTTCAGAGTTTTGAACGTAGGTCTGCTTATACAGAGCAAGACAAGATTTCAAAGCTTTTTTTTATTTCAGATGGCTCTCTACAGTGAGAAGAGTTTGTTTAGTCTGGCAACAGGTAAACACTTCTGGGTTCTGCCATAAGGCTACTAGATAGTATCAGTTCTAAAGCTCAGACTAACACCTGAATAGTAGATAACAAAATTCTCTTATGTGATACTACTCCAAAAAAGGCCTAAATTCAGAAGTAGAATTTGATCGTTTATATTATTGTAATCATAAATACATTAAAAAAAATCTTTTAAAACTCCTATATTATAAACTATTAAAACAACATATGCTTAATTATCCACACCGATTTTTTTTCCCCCCAAGAAATTAGATTTCCTGTTTTGCTCAGTAGCTGATCTTCATTTTATTGGAGGCTTATGAGTGGGCTGGGTATAGATGGGTTATTGCTTTTTGATACTTTGGAAAACTAGTAGTTTTGGAGCATTTTTCAGATCCAGGAACATCTGTCCATGTTTAGAGATCCATTTGGGGGAAAGAAAAAAAAAAAAGGGTAATTTGTTTTTTCATTTGTACTTAGAATGCGTTTTGGACCATCATAGCTTTAAAGCACACAAGATACTGAAACCAGGTGCTAAGATCAAGCAAGAAAATAAGGTGTGATCTGTTACTGCCGCAGTACGTACCTAAGGGGGGTGCGATACAAGGTGTCTCATGGAGCCTTCACTTTTCCTCCTTCATCCTACACACACGTCACTGGGCTCCATCCCCTCTCTCTTTTTTTAGAGCATATGTTCACATTTTGCCTGTCCCACAAATATAAGCAATGCAGGGGCCCTTTTACTGGTTGGGATTGCACGAGTGAAGCCAGAGCAGCATACTTGTATCACCACATCACTCAGCAGAACGGTTTTTTTTTCTCCAATCAGCAACCCAGGCCGTGTTCCCGGGTTGCCCCCAGTGCCATCTCTGACTAGTTTATTCTGTAACACCTTGTCCTTGTGTTCAGCACAGCTATGCTATAGGCCAGTCCTTGAGGTTCTTTTGTTCTGTTCTGCAGCCTCATTTTTCTCCCAGTTGCCTAATAGTTCCCATACTCCATGCTTGCTTTGATCCCCCCCATGCAGATACATCCAACAACATTTTGTTGTCCATATCTGCCGCAGGTATAGATGAGATGACAAACGAGCATCCTATCCACTTCCAGTTTTTCAGCCTCAGTGAGCTGCATATTGCCATTTGTATTAGTAATGAAAAAACAATTTATTAAATTCTCAATGTTTAACTTGTCAGTTGTACCACACACTGATCAAGCCAAAAGCATGTTGATTTGTTTTTAAACATCACAGCTTAAACAGGGTACAGTAGGGGCATACATACAGAAAATAATAAATGAAAATGCAGACAAGGAAAATTTACGTCAGTCTCCCCTCTAAGGAAGGATATTTAAAAAAAAAAAAAAAGTATTTGTCCTATCTGTAAAGCCAGAAAAAAACCTAAATTACATTAAATTTTTCTGTAACATTATTACATTTCCTAACAGCTTTAAAAAATTGCAAAACTAAGTATGTTTAAATACTACTAACAAGTATTTCTGTATGCACCAATAGCCTGATTTCCAATGGATTATGTCAAGTCTGACTGACTTTGCATTCAAATGATTCTATTACTAATTAGATTTAAGCAGTAGAAAATGTAGAGAGTTAAAATACCGGAGAATTCACACTGATCATGGGGAAGACAGTTACGTATGTTCAGACAGACAGTATGAGAGTTTCAACTGTGAAAAATGACATCAGCAGAACTCTAGTATCAGGGAAATAGTTTATCTCCTACATGGACTTTTGATGTCTATTAGACACAAAAGCTTCAGCCGAGTCTGTTTGCATGTAAGAGCAGTGTCTTACACCCATGCAGTTCCTGTTGACTAATAAGACATAGTGCATTTTTTACTTCAAAATGAGGGCATTAACAGGTTGTCTTAGAAACACTTGAAACTGGGCAGACAGACTTGCAGTGTTCAATGCCTAGAAAATGTGGTTGCAGAATAACTCAAGCTACTGGAGAGAGAGGCTGGATTTCTAGATATGTAGTCACAGAGATGGTTAGATTACATTTTCTCAGAAGGCTTAAGTGTGGAGGAAAGGGTCGTGGAAACCTTCACTGCTCAACCTTCGAATTAACATTTTCAGAGTCTAGACAATATATGTATAT